GGATCAGGGTGATGTTGGCCTCATAGAATGAATTTGGAAGAGCTCCTTCTTTTTCTATTTCTTGAAATAGCTTGAAAAGTATTGATATTAATTCTTCTTTGAAGTTTTTGTAAAACTCCACTGTATATCCATCCAGCCCAGGGCTTTTCTTGGTTGGTAGTCTTTTGATTGCTTTTTCTGAGGGCAAGAAGATGTCTTTTCCTCTTCTACTTACCTCTTCCCCTTTGCTGGTTTTGTGATTTTTTTCCTTTGGTGATTTTACTATTATATACCCAAGTCTTTTTCTGTCTAACTTGTGATTTATAGTATTCCATCAACATATAGTCCAGTGTTTTTTCCTGTTTTGGAATAATTGTGGCTATCATCTCTTCAAATAATTTTTTTTAGTTATATATCTACTATCTTTCTTGTATTCCAGATATGTTAGACCTTTTTAGAGGTATATTTCCTTTATTTGTTTTGTCTAATTTTCATGCCATTTGTCAGCTTAATTATCACTGATTTCACTTTCATTTAATTTTTCTCCTTGGGCTGAGTTTATTAAATTGGCTATTCTTATTTTCATAGGTTTTTTTTTTTTTGGGTGTGTGTGTGTGTGTGTGTGTGTGTGTTTCATTCTCTAGTCTCTGTATGGTATTGTGTGCCCCCAGAGAGGTCTTTCTTTTCATTATGGATTAGGAACTGCATCGATTCAAGGCTGGATTCTTGTAGTCTTTGTGAGACTTTGCTTTATTTTCAGTTTGCCTGTTCCTAGCTTGTAACCCTCTTTAGGTCCTTTGGATACCTGGAGTTTTGCTGTGGCCCTCCTGTGTTGGTACTTTCATTATTTTCTCCCCATACTGAAATTTTTGCTTAGCTTTTTTTTTTTTTTTTTTGCTACCAGTTGATCTAGATAAAAGCCACTGATAAGTTTGTTGAAAGTTTGTTTCAGTGTTTTGAGGCCTGTTCTATTTCTGTTTTTCAAGAGTGTACCTGGAGTTTTGGTGAAAGTTTGGTTAATAATCTTTGAGGACCCTCCACTCTGTTAGGCTATGTACATGCTTTTGTCTCCCTTGCTCTGAGAATTGCTGACAGCTCTGTTTAGCTTCTGTGTTTTTACTTGTGAGCAAACACTTCAGTGAGGAAATTCATGCTGAATGTTTTCTGTGTGCTTTCTTCTCTCGAAATCTTCACTGCTTAAATCTTGACTGCCTTTGTAGCATTGTATTACTCTAACAAGAATACTTGAGGGATCAATTTATAAGGAGATGTATTAGTTATGTGTTTTCACTGCTGCAGCCAAAAGAGTTGACAAGAACAATTTCAGGGGAGGAAAAGTTGATTTGGTTCTCATGGTTTCAGAAGTCTCAGTACATAGATGGCCAGTTCCATTCCTTGAGGCCTGAGGTGAGGCCAAATATTTTTGTTAAAAGTGTGGTGAATGAAAGCAWCTCAGGACATGATACCAGGAGTGAGAGAAAGACTAAGCTCAGTTTATAAACTATGTATCCCAAAGCCATTCTCCTAGTGACCCTCCTCTSCAGCCATACCCTACTTGCCTAAAGTTGCCACCCAACTAATCCCTAGTAGCAGATTAATGCAGTGATTAGGGTAAGGCTCTCATAACCCAATCATTTCACCTCCAAGTATTCTTGCATTATCTCGCAAGATTTTGAGGGACATCTAATATCTAAATCATAAGAAGGGGAATGTTTATTTTGACTCATGAGTATAGGAATTTAATTCATGGTTGGTTTTCTAGTTCCTTTTGAGCCATGTAAGGTGGAATATCATGGTGGGAGTATGTGGTGGAAGAAGGTGCTTGCCTCATGGCAGCTGCAAACTGAAAAAAGAGAGGAGGCTAGGGTCCCAATATCTCCTTCAAAGCATGCCCTAACTTCCCCAGGGCCACCATGAAAAAGGTTTGACCACCTTGCAGTGTGCAGTGAGCTGCTAACAGTCTTCAACTTTGGGGATCACTTAACCAATCTATAGCAAGTGGTAACTTTTCATTGCTTTTAAAAATATTAAATAATCACATATAAATCCACTTTAATTTTTAGTTGCTTCTGTTGAATGTGTAGTTTGGTAGAAGATAATTGCTTTTGCTGCAATGATAACCTTTTGCTGTTACATTCTTCAATTGTTTAGCATGAAATAATGTTACCGAATTGTATATAATATCAGAAGAGGAAGTTAGACATTCCTTTCTCTTCAAATATAAAAATGTACCACTTTTGAGACATGGCTAATCATTTATACATCTGTATTTATTTGAGAATATTTATCTCTTATAGGTTGCTTAGCCAAACAATGAAGGATCATCTAGTAAGAGTAGCAAATGAAGCGGAATTTATCCTGAGCAGGCAGAGAGCAGAGGATATTCACAGACATGCGGAATTTGAGGTAGGTTACAACAACATGTCACTGATGTAAAGAAATTATGTTTCGCAATAGTCATTACAGTTGCCTAGGTAAAATGACAATGGTCTAAGTAAATGTGTTATATATTATCCAAAAACTAAGTTTGTGAAAAATTTGCAGATTGTTTTGAGGTGAGAATTACTCATGTGTTTTGCCCTCTCATCTCAACTCCACCTCATCTGCAAATTGGCCAGAGCAGCTTGTTTGGCTGACCCAATTTTAATAACAAAAACGGGATCCTGGCTCTCTTGCTTTTCCAATAAAGAAAATTAGCAAAGGACTTTAGACCTCTCTGGGTAATATTGAGCTAGTTTATCACAAGTGAAAATTTCTGTGGCAAAAATAGTGTCTCCTTTTAGAGAGGAGTTGAACACAGAGATGTATAATTCTCCTACCCTTATGGTTTGAGAACCCTATTGTATATGTAGCCGAGGAGATGAGGGAAAATATAGCTCTCTTCTTGGATCCCCACTGGGAGACCAAGTGCCAGACCATTCTGGAACCACTGCTTATATCATGTATATGTGCAGCAAATATGAGTTTATACCGGAGGTTAATGATTTCATAGCTCTGTAATGTTCCAAACACCTACAGTAAACTAAATTTTGAATTAAAAATTTGATTCGAACATTGCTGTAGAACTCAAAAAAGCAAAGTACTGAATAGGCTATTTCTAACATGTAAAGAGGAGATATATGTTATTATTTTTCTGGTAGTTTACAAAAGATGAAAAGTAGTTCAGCACATTTTATACAACAGCAAAACTTGAAAAATTGTTCTAGAAAAATAAACTCTAGAAGCGTTTCTTTCACTAATAATGTGGGTACAAAATGTTAATTAAAACTGTAGCTAACATAAACTATCAGTGTAATAAGAGAATTACATATTGTGAATTCTGAGAATTTTCCTGAATTTTGAAGATGTTTCTTTTAAAAAAATTATTTATTTATTTATTTTAATTAGTTATATGTGACAGCAGAATGCATTTTGATTCATTGTACACTATTACAGCACAACTTTCCATTTCTCTGGTTGTACATGATGTGGTGTCACACCATATGTGCAGTCATACATGTAGATTAATGATGTTTATCTCATTCTACCATCTTTTCTGCTTCCATGTCCCCTCTTTACCCCTCCCTCCCCTGTGCCCAAAGTTTCTCCATTCTTCCCATGCCCCCTCCCCCATTATGGATCAGCATCCACAAAATATTCAGACTTTGGTTTTTTGGGATTGCCTTACTCTGCTTAGTGTGATATTTTCTAACTCCATCCATTTACCTGCAGATGTCATAATTTTATTATCTTTTAATGCTGAGTAATATTCCATTGTGTATATATACCACAGTTTCTTTAGCCATTTATCTATTGAAGGGCATCTAGGTTGGTTACACAGTTTAGCTATTATGAATTGAGATGCTGTAAACATTGATGTGCCTGCGTTACTACAGCATGTTGATTTTAAGTCCTTTGGGTACAGATCAAGGAGTGGGGTAGCTGGGTCAAATGKTAGTTCCATTCCAAGGAGTCTCTGTACTGCTTTCCAGATTGGTTGCACCAATTTGCAGTGCCACCAGCAATGTATGAGTGTGTTTTATGCTCCACATCCTCGCCACCATTTATTGTTTGTATTCTTGATAACTGCCATTATGACTGGCATGAGATGAAATCTTAGTTTTGATTTGCATTTCACTAATTACTAGAGATGTTGAACATTTTTTCATATATTTGTTGATCAAACATATATTTTCTTCTGAGAAGTGTCTGTTCAGGTCCTTAACCCATTTATTGATTTTTTAAAAAAATATTTTTTTTTTAGTTTTAGATGGACACAGTATCTTTATTTACTTATCTTTATGTGGTGTTGAGGATCAAATACAGGGCTTCACACGTCTAGGTGAGCGCTCTACCACTGGGCCACAACCTCAGCCCTGGGTGGTTTGCTTTTTTGGTGTTAAGATTTTTGATTCTTAGTGCTCTATCTGTCATACAGATGGCAAAAATTGGCTCCCTAAATTAGGCTCTCTCTTCACCTCATTGATTGATTGTTTTGCTGAGAAGATGTTTTATTGTAGGATATCATCAGTCTTTGTGGCACACGCCTGCAATTTCAGTAGTTCAAGAGGCTGAGGCAGGAAGATTTCAGGTTTGAGGCCAGCTTTAGCAACTTAGCAAGACTCTGGCTTATAATAAACAATAAAAAGGGCTAGGATGTAGCTCAGTGGTAAAGTGCCCTTGAGTTCAATCCCTAGTACAAAATAAATAAATAAATAAATTATAGGAGATCTACTTATATATGAACATAGGTAAAAAAGTAATGAATTTTAGCAGCCAGTCCTAAGAAAATTTTCTATGTGTATTCATATGTTCACATTTTTCTAGTTTTGATAATGTAATTTATTTTGTAAGTTTGTTGACTGTTTGAATGATATCCTGGTTGATTTAGTGTTGCAGGCCAATACTTGCAGTGTCTGTAGGCATTGCTTCCTGGTATTTTCCTTGGGTTCAATTTGCTTTTTCTATCTTTTGTCTGAGATTTCTTTGTCTATGAAAATAAATTTCTTAACAGCAGTATGGCTCATTTTAAACATTATTTATCAAATTGTCCTGGAACATGGTTTTATTATAATATGCAGATTCAGATTTTTACTTAATTTTTTGGAAATTTTCCAAAATTATATCTTGAAACATTTTTTCCTTTTTCTTTACTTTGTGATATTAAACTTACATTAGATGTGTGTGTTTTCCTTTCATAGCCATTAGCTTTTTTCTGATTGCTTTACTTGCTTATACTACCTTTTTGTTGTTGTTGAAAAGCTGAGGATTTAATCCAGGGCCTTCCACATGCTAGGCAAGCACTCTACCACCTACCTACATCTTCAGCCCCATGTTCTTTTTATTTCTAGCTTTATTTCTTCTTTATTAATTAAGTTTTGAGTATTTTATTTTGACCTTGATATTTTTAACTTATTTATTAGATCTATAGTTCTTAAGTATTGTTTCTCATTTTGTTTATTTAGAATCAAAAGCTATCTCCTTTTATACTTACTTTATTTTGATTATTTTTAAATCACATTTTTTTTTTACTGTGTTCACCAGAATAAAATAATGATGAGGAAATTTCTTTCATTCTTCAAGCTGTATTTTCTCCTAGAATTCTTTGTCTTTTGTATATAATCTTATAATTTTATTAAAAAATTTATTAGTTCATTTATTTATTGATTGATAAGTATCTGGATAACTACCATGATTTTTCTTTCCATCTCGGTCATATTTAGAATGCTCCATCCTGGAATTCTGTTGGTTTATGCAGAATGTGCAGCAGTCAAATGTCCTGGTAACGTTTTTCCTTCCCACTGTATGTACAGGCTTTTTATCTCTCTGAGCTACAGTTTGCTTTCTGACCAGTAATCTATAAGTGCATCATGAAGAGAGATAAAGCTTAGTTGAGGTGGGAAAAAGGAGGCTTTCTTTGAATACTTGGTTTTCTTCTTGTAAGTTTTGTGAAATGTTTTCTACCAGATTCATTCCATCTTGTTTGTGACTAGACACTTCTAATAGGGCACTGTGTTGAGGCTGAATTATTTTCCCAGTCAGTTCCTATAGTAGTCTGTAGTCCACYTCAGACAGCACAGTCAGCCCTGCCGTTTCACTCCTCATTTCACCAATTTTTACACTGTGGATTTTTCAGTCATTTCTAGTTAGAAGAGGAAAGAGATTATGGTACGTATTCATTTTGTTTCTTCACATATTTAAAGACATTATGAAAGAATCTCAGCATTTGGTGGATTTACCTGTTGCTTTGGGTGGTGGGCGCATGGGTAGGAAGTGAGTCTTGTTCCTCCTTCTGTTCTAGTTCCAGTGTGTTTGCTTCCCCCTTAACATCCTATATTGTTGCTGTTGTTTGATGCTTTATATTATATTCCTTATGTTGTTTCATTATTTTGGGGTTTTCGTTTTTTTGCCTAAAATATTTTTGGTAACTTTGTTTCAGGCATTAAAGAAAGGGGAAAGAATTTGATTGCCATTTCAGCCTGCCATCGTAACTTAGAACCTATTAATGTCCTTCCTAATTAATTACGGAAAAGTTTACTTTGTAGTAACTGTGGGTTGAGAATGTGGTTTCTTCCTTTTATTTGAAGTTTCAGTGATTATTATGGTAGTCATATATGTGATTTTTTTGGTGTGTGTATGGATGAGGAAGAATGAGGAAGGAAAAAACACTTGGAACTGAATGAGGAAAGGTATTTCTTAAGCACTATTATGCAAGAGATTAGACTGATTTGTTCTAAGTAGTATATATGTTTGCAGCTTAGATGAGACATGATGGTGCTAATAGTTGTGAATGTTGAATAAATACTAAGGCTGTGTCAGACAATGTTATGAATAAGTATTAACTAATTTAATCCTTAAAGTAGACCTCTGAGGTAGTACTGTTGCTATTCCTTGTTTTATAAATTTCAAAACAGTCTGAAATAGAAACAACCCAGGTTTGGGAAGTTCAGCTCTTAATCACTAATCTTTGAATTTGGTTCATATTTTATTAGATTTCTACAGAATGTATGAATAGAAGTTAATCCTGGAATATATACTAGGTTTATTTTGAGCATTTAATTCATGCCTTGTCTAGTATACTTTTTCATTCAAATCATTTTTATCATGTGTGAGATTTGCAATATTATATAGTAATATTATAAGGTGTTATAATAAAATTATCTAAGTAAAACTGAAAATATTTCCAAACAAACATTATTACTTATATTTTTAATGAAGGAAACATGTGTGTTCAACCATTCCACATCAGAGTAAATCCCCCCTCTCCTTCCCCAGTACTAGAGATTGAACCCAGAGGCACTTTACCACTGTTCCACAACCTCATCTTTTTTTATTTTGAGACTGGGTCTCACAAAGTTGCTTAGGGACTTACTAAGTTGCTAAGGCTGGCCTTGAACTTGTGATCCTCTTGCCTCATCCTCTGGTTC